GGATTTGGCTCCATTCTCTAGCACAAGTTTCTAATTTGTTCCTTCATGCCCTACCAACCTTTCTGAGTCTGACCCCACAGCAGCAGCTGGCCCGAGCAGCAGGAAGGAAGCTCTGTGCCTACGTGCCCCTCGGTGCCTGGCTCCTGCGCTCCGTCTGTCCAGGAACCAGCCATCCCTCACAGAATGCTGATCTGCTGCTGCCAGCTCAGCCAAGCACCAACCAGTGGGCAGCTGTGAACTGGTGCCACTGCTTGCCGAGTGCTGCTCTGAGCTGGACTCAAATCAGGGTCACTGAGAGAGGTTTTCTGTGCCCTGGCCTAGGTCATTGAAGCTGGATTCATCTTTTTTTCTATTGCAGTCATCTCTGTTAAGTGCAGTTTTCTCTGCTGAGTTGTTTCATATGTTGGAGTACTTCTGGATCCAGATGAGTGTTACAGTCAATCTGGTTTGATCCCTTCAATTTTTTTTTTTTTTTTTGTGGGGGGGAGAGGGGTAGAGAGGTGAAGATCTGAAGCCAGGAGAGATGATGGCTGGAAGTCTGCCAAGAAAGTGAAAAAATAACAAAATGTTTGTTCGAAGGTTTAAATTTTTAGAATGCTACATTTAGTTACTGCATTTCTGATTCCAAGTGAAGTACCTGTACAGCATTTTTATTTTTGAGGAAGGCAATATAAAATTGAACTGTGTAGTTTCTTCTGCTTGGATCCATGACTGATGCTCTTAACTGATGTCCTTATACTGTACAGTAAGTAGTCAGGTACTCAAGATAGGTCCTAAGTTATAATTCAGAGGTGACATTTAAAGTTACTTGAAATGATATAAACCAGTCTAGGAGTCAGATTGCTCTACCAGTTTATAATTTTAGATGCATGTCTGCCCTCACTCAAATTTGCCCCCAAGCAAATTCTGGAAAGAGACTGGTAGACATGTTCATTTTTTTTCTGAAAGGATGCACTAGGCTTCCTTCCCAGCTTTCTCACCTGTTCTTGTTCCCTCCATCCCTTGATTGAACACTAAAGCATTTTTTTCATAGAAAATAAGCTATTAACCTAAAACAATGCAGAAAGATTTTGCTATTGCAAAATGAAGGTGGTGGTAGTGTATCACAAGTGTATGTTGTTGAGGGCTACCCCAGGCATGTTCTAGAATTATTTAAAAAAAAAAAAATATGGAAAATCAAAATTGTTAAGAAGACCCTCGAGCCTGTTGCTTGGCCGGTGTGGATTGGCAGAGGCAATCCCTTCCACCTGACAACAGCTGACTGGTGCCAAACGGAGGGGGAGGAGGTGGTGGATGCGCGGGTGGTGACTGCTCGTGGCAAAAAAAGTAACACTTCATGTTTTGCAAGTGGGACTTTGCAGACTTGCTTCTTCCATCAATCTCCGAGGGAAATGCTCTGCTCTAAAAATAAATGGACGTACAATTCCAGTTGAGAACCATGCTGAAATCATTGCGAATTGCTGTGAAATGGGATTTAGCATCACAGAAGCTTAAGATGGAGAAGTCTGATCGCTAGGGTCTGTGCTGTCCTCAGCAAAAGCTTGAGATAGTCTCTCAGTGCAAGGCCCATCCCACAAGATATGTATGGGACATTGGTGGTTGCATCTGAAGCTAGCTGATCAGAAGACTGAATGGTGAAATGCTGTAATTAGAGTGGGGGAATGCTATCATGGTGTGCTGTTCCCCCCTGCTTAAGGTTTTGGAGGAAAACTGCTACAGTTTTTTACTACTTCTGGTTCCCCAGAATAGAACAGCCTTCTGTCTATTGTGATCTTGTCATTATGGACTGGGCCAGCAGGAGGTTTACAGTGAAACCTGGCAGTTACGTTGTTTAGAAAATCTTCCCAAATTAGCAAAAATCAGAAGTTGTGCGCATGTGTGTAGATCAGCAACTTCCACAGCAGAACATTCCTTTGGAAAAAACAGCCTCTCTTGAACATTGCTTTCAAGCTTAGTGGTTAGCGTGTAAAACCCATTTTTTCGGGGCTGACTTTGCACATAAAAGGGACAACACACTTACTTCTTCGAATCATATTTAAAATTACTTTTTACATTCGTAGAAGCCCTTAATCCTGCAGGTCCTATGGTGATATGAGGTCAAAGCATGGATTTCTATTTGCAGCATTTGCATGCTTGGTTCTGTAATTTCAGGCAGAGGAACCAGTCTGGTGAGTGTGTGCAAATGCCTCTGCTTGGGGTTGTACTGGTTGTTCAGTTAAAGGGCAGAAATTTGTGTATTCACAGTACTGTGGATATATGCCAAGTTTGCTATCGTAATTTCCCCATTCTTTTCTGAGTTAGCTACAATCTAGCAAAGGATTCAAAGAGAAAATATGAAAGAATGAGGCACTCAGTAACTGAAAAGACAAATGCCAGTGCCCGATTCTAAGTACCTGGGTGGCTGTATACATGAAGGACTATCTGTGTGCTTTAAGTCAGAAACATTAACCAGCCTGACACTGAGGTAAAGTCTCCTACTTGACCCACAGCAGAGCTTTCCCATCTGCTGGTGAAAATGTCTGATATCTAGGGTGCTTTCAAGCTCCTAGCAGGAGTCTTTTTTAGTGAACTGAATTAATGAATTATATTATTATAGTTGCAAGTGGAATTTAGGTGTTCATAAAAGTACTTTGCACAGTATTTTGGCATCCGTGAAAAACTAGCTAGAGCCCTATGGCCTGACATCTCCACTTGGAAAGGAACCCAGTTCTTCTATGGTGTTTTTACTACCGAGACAAGAAAAATGTTTGTGCTTGTGCACCTCATGAAGAAAACTCCTTATCAGAAAAGTGTCTCCTGCGTGTTCTGCTCAGATTGAAGCAAACTGTTTTCCCAAATATTTACTTTTCAGAAGAAGACCATCTGTTGAAGTTCAGAGAGGATAATTTACATCTCAGTTGTCTGACTGTCAAGATAGCCACTAAAATATATTATGATTCAAAATGTTAAATGCTTCCTCTAAAAGGTTAGTGGTTGGAAACCACAAATCAAACCAAGACCATCAGCATCTTTGAACAGTAAACTTCCCCAGTCCCTAGAGAAAAAAGAATTAAAACCTTCGTTCACTTTCAATGAAGCTGACAGTGCATGGGGAGAACTAGTTCTATTTATTAGACCTCTGACTTACATGATAACTACAGAAATGCTCTGAAAGCAGCCATTTATTAAACAGTAATGAAACTCTTGGCTTTTGAAATGAGCCTAGTGCTTTGGTTATTTTGACATAAAATTTATAAATCTCAAAACCTGCTTTTTATTTCAAGCAAAGTTTCCCCTGGATTTTCTGTAGGACTGCAATGTACTCAAAAGAGCATTATCAATATGCTTATGCTTCTCATCTCATCTGTTCTCAGCTTCTTAGTCATAAGGGAAACTACCCTGACCGTCTGTATCTGCTTTGCTTTTTTAAAAATTTATTTTTCAAGTCAAATATATCGTTACTTTTTCAGGAACAGAGATTAGTTGAAGCAGCAGTTGAAGGCAGCCCATGAAATACTTAGTGGTGCTACGTGTGGACCTTACTAGTGGCACAGTGATGGGTCAGCTCCAGAGTTACATTCAGGAAGCTAAAAATGCAGTAAATGCTATCTAAGTATTAACTTTATATGCAAAGAACTGAAAGAGTTTTCCTGTCTGTCATATGATTAGAAGCAGTAGTGCCTCACTATGTGAAACCACATGTGAACATCTGGTCCAAAAACATCCCTGTCAGTTCTCAGAAGGTTGATGTCACTACTGATGCTGGTGAACAGCACAAAAAAAAAAACAAACCTTGACCATTTAAAATCCCATGAAGTGAAGGTCTCCTTGAGTATTTTTCAGTCAGAACTTTTCCCATGAGGAATTTTGTTTTCGTGGTGAATACACTAAAAAAAGTTTCCCATTACAAGTTACTTGTAAACTGTACATTTTTTAAGCCAAATGTTTTCACAACGTGTTTGAAATCACCCTTGCTTTTTTGAAATTAATTCTATTGTATGCAGAAAAGTAATAAAAATAATTTTAAAAGCGAAGCTGGAAGAAGACATTCTTCTTGCCAGTCTCAGAATAATTTAGTTAAGCTCAGCTGAAAATACTGGCTTACAGGAAAAGAATGTAATTAAATGTTCTGTTCTAATTCAGAATAGAAAATAAAAGTTGAGATTGTAGGCTTTATACAAAAATTCTGGCATCTACACAAGATAAACACTAAGGAGGTGGTTTCAGAAATCAAAGGACAAAACTGATGAAAGATGAGTTCTTAGAAACTTTTCCTGTACTTCTAAAGATAAAGGAGAACAATTATGAACCCCTTTGGCTTGGCCTATAAATAAGTGAAATCTTTGGACCAGTCTCCACTGACCTTCATGTGTTCTGGCTCAAGTCCTTCAAATATTTAGGAGCAATTTTCAGTCGAAGTGTGAAGAAGTAAAGAAGCTCCGCAGTACCTTCTTGATTAGGGAGCCTACTTCAGAAGGATAGAGTCGAACCTTGAATTTAGACTACCAAAAAGCATTAAGGTCACTATAGCACTTTCCTAATACTTTTCCCTTTTATGATATCTCTACAGTTTTTTTTCTGGCACTAATAGCAGATTAAGTCTTTCCCCCCTTCTTTATTATCAGCCATCCATTTGGAGGTTTGTTTTACAGTGTGACTCAAGTTGAATGACACAACTAAAGAGGACAGTGAACTTCAGAGTGAGGTTGTAAATGGGCAGGTAGCATGGGAGTGACTTAAGCTCTGCCACCAGAGAAGATTTAGCACTTAGGAATGGCCTTGATTTAAAAAAAAAGAAAAAAAAAAAGCAGGGGGTGAGGGGTTTAAATACATTTTTTTTAAGTCACTGAGAGATGAAGCACTGTTGCACTGTTAGTGTCGTGCCATTACATATGAATAATGATTAAGTGAGCTGAACAGGTGGTAGTTACTGTTCATTAAGTGTTGCTTAAACTGCTAGGGATCTGAACCAATTTGCAAATGACCACAAGTAAAATCTAGCATCCTTTTATGTTTTACAGGGTGTGCAGACTTGCATCTCCTGGATATGTTGACACCTACTGAAAGAAAAAGGCAGGGATACATCCATGAGCTCATTGTCACGGAAGAGAACTATGTAAATGATCTGCAGTTGGTCACAGAGGTAAGACAGCACAGCAGCTTTAGGAGCAGGTTTTAATCACTCATCTTTTTAAAGTAAATAAATAATTTCACTGTGCAAACTCTTTTTATATCAGTGCCATATTTGACTTCCTAGGGATGATCTGTGTAAAGTTTTAATATCTAGATATAGATATAGCTACACGTGTGTATGGGTGTGAGTGTAACTAATGTTAAGCCCTTGTGTTACTGTCACCAAAACACTGATGTTTAAAGTATCGTTCTTGTAAACCCTTTTTGCCTCTGATTTTGAATGCTTATTTCTTATGTAGAAGTTCTTAAAACTTGAAGCCCATTTTCCACATTCACAGTGGCAATCAAGTTATCACAGTATGTGGAAAAAAGGGGAACCTCTACAGGCAACTGACTTAGTTCTTTTAACAGAGAAGGAAAGCCCTTTTTTGAAAAAGAGGTCAAGATATGCAAACCTGAGACATGATGAGAGAAATCAGAACTTCCATAAAAGAGTCCAAAGTAAAATATATTTTTGGTTATATTATCAATGTAATCCTGGGATATTTTGCAGGAGACCTCTGACTAAAATTCACAAGTCTCAAACAGATTATCCAGGTCATAATTGAACTACCAACACAAATTTAGAGTATTCTTTTTTTAAAGCCATATGCCACTCACAAACATTATCAGGGAACCCTGTGGATCTCTAGGGCACAGTGCATGTCTGAAGTCTGTTCCACTGAGTGCCAAGTGCTACTCTGATGTGAAGTTTTCTCACCTCCAGAATAAGGAAATTAACATCATCAGTCTTAGTCATTTTGATTATATTTACCTTATATTTTTTACACTGCTTAATTTTCCGAATCTATAGATCTTCCAGAAACCACTAATGGAATCTGAGCTGCTAACAGAAAAAGAAGTTGCTATGATTTTTGTTAATTGGAAGGAGCTGATTATGTGCAATATAAAACTACTGAAGTAAGTTGTTGGGTTTTTTCCCCATACTTAGCAATGACAAAATCATGGGCCTCTCCCCACACTTCTTTTCTAGCTGCGTGAGAATATGTGCCATTTATGCAGCCAGTAATCAAAAGGGCCACACGTTTCCTTGTTGGAAAAAGCAAAATATTAACAATGTTTGCTATGACTTGTTGTTGAGAAAAATCCAGCAGTTCTTTGCTGAGTAAGTATTTGCACTTACTTTGCTCTTGGTGTGCTCCAGGAAGGAAGGTCAGCCTCTCCTGAAGAGCAGTGCCTGCCACAGTCCTTCTGTGGACTTGCCCTTCCTCTGTCACAGCCCATACCCAATTCCAGTCCTATTATCTGTGAATGCAAAACAAGGCACCGAAACCTCTGCCCTCCTTATTCTGGGTTAGCTGATACAACCCTTTAGTTACTGTAAGCTTAAAGCACCTGAATGAGCTGTTCTGTGAGAAGTGGTGCCAACAAAGCCTGTTCTCCTATGGCTTTGTGTCCAGCATACTTTACATCCTTACTTCCAAAGTTTCCAGCCTACTGTGATCCCAGCTCTCTACCATGAAACTGCACACAGCAGAAGTACCCTTATTTCTACCTCTATTTTCTGTGGCCTCTGATGAATCCATTTCTTTTCTACTTGTGTCCTTCTAACCCATCCCTACTGCTTTCAGCAAGACACAGTAAATGTTGTGGCTGGGGATTGAGTTAAACCTTCATAAGCAGGAGGGATAATTAAGGTTCCTTTTTGTCCCTACTGAGCTGCCAATTTTCGTTGAACTTAGAGGGATTTTATAATTTTGAGAGATCTCCTTTTTTGTAAAATGTATTTGAAAATGACCCACAAGTTGAAAAGTTACTGTCGTAATAGGACAAATGCAAGCAGCTCAATCACAATAAATCTCCTGTCCTTAGGAAACCAGGCTAAAACCTTTAAGCTTAAGAGCAGTGGTAAGGTTTTTATCCTTTATTCATGAGTGTATCTGTTTTTTTCTAAACTAATAGAAAAGGAAATCACATGCCTTTTTATATTGTATCTGATCTGGCATTGCATTGAGCTAATGTCAAATAACAGTCTGGTTACCAGAGGAGGAAAACGTGTTGGCTAAGGATGCAATGTTGGTCCCTTATAATATGCAATAATTCCTGTGGCTGATCTACTTATTATTCAAGGGTCTGTGTTTCAATAATTAATAAGAATCAGGCCCTTCGTTTAATAAAGAAGGAATCATCCTTTAGTGGTCTACTTATAAAACATACACGACCTTTTCATGTTTAGGGCTTTGCGTGTGCGTAAGAAGATGTCTGGAGAGAAGATGCCAGTGAAAATGATTGGTGACATACTGACAGCTCAGCTGCCACATATGCAGCCCTACATTCGGTTCTGTAGCTGCCAGCTCAATGGGGCAGCACTCATCCAGCAGAAGACAGATGAAGTCCCTGAGTTCAAGGAGTTTGTTAAAGTAAGAGAAGAAGCAATCACCATGAACTTCGCACACTGTAAATTTAGCTCATCGTTCTGATAATTTTCAAAATGTAGTCTCAAATAGTGCTCTATGTGGGACTAGAATCAAGAGTTTTAAGACTTAAGCACATTAAAGGAATAGATTTTTTCGCTGAAGTAATAAATTTTTTCAAACAATTCTGTTTTTTATTTTTTAAACACTTTGTTTAATAATGGTTTAGCTGTAAAATGCCAGGACAGTAAGAAGAGACCCTTCTCATGTACAGGCAAGGCAGGTGAAGAATATGTTGTAAAAATATACAAGAAATTCTGCTGCACTGACATTGTGATCTAAGAATAGATTTAGCTGAGGCATAGTGTTCATTTGTTGCCCTACCTTTTCCTTTCTTGGAGGAGCTCATTTTGCAGGGTTTTAAACAAACTGACTAACACCGTTTTACCTCTCTAATGTTTCAGAGGTTAGCAATGGATCCTCGCTGTAAAGGAATGCCACTATCAAGTTTTCTACTAAAGCCTATGCAACGGGTAACAAGATACCCACTAATAATTAAAAATGTACGTTCTTTTGCAAAGATGATGGTTTTGATGCTGCTTTGCTTATAGATTAATTACAGGATAGTTTCCCTCTGTGTGCCAAGCTTTGTCACTGTTGGAAATCTGGTGTGCTAGGGAACATGGGGTGTCCTTTTATATTTGATCACACTAGAGAAAATGCAGTAATTCATTTGGCTTCAGTGAAATACCTTGGTGTTCCCATTAGAAACAGAGGTAAAACCTACACACAAAGAACCAGAAGGCTATAAATGCTGAATGAAAACTGTAACATTCAGATAACAGGAGTAACGGGTCAGTCTTATGCTCATCTTTACCTTTTTCCACAGCGTCATTTCCTCCCCATAGTCTGGTAAATGACATTAAGTGTGCAAGCCTGAATGCCAAAGTTTTGTAAGTTATCTTACTGGTCAGCTTACATTGCTGGATAACTTACAGCCCATTCCTGACTTTCATTTGTTGCCTAACACTTACCATGTTGAATAATGCTGTTGAAATTGGCTCAAGACTTTCACAGGGAAGAATTCTAAATTGGATGTTGGCATTTAAGACATTCCTTAAACAGACATGGACCTTTTTCTGTATATGGGTGGAATTTGCACACACGTGTCAGAAGAGTGAGCAGTGTACTGATGCAAAGGCTCTGCTGGCAGGCATTCATTTCAGCTGTCCACAAACAGACTGTGAGTTTGTCCCCTGTTTTTCGTGTTTGTCAAGGAGAAAAAGAAATTTGGAACATACTGCCTGGCTGAGATGAAAATAAAGAAATAAAACAGAAGTATAGGGCTGACAACAGGAATACATTTTAACTGCAGATAACAGAAAAGGCTGATGTGCTTAATTTATCTGTAGATAATAGAAAACACTCCTGAAAACCACCCTGACCACAGTCACTTGAAGCATGCTCTTGAGAAAGCAGAAGAATTGTGTTCTCAAGTAAATGAAGGCGTGCGGGAGAAGGAGAATTCGGACAGGCTGGAGTGGATCCAGGCTCATGTCCAGTGTGAAGGCCTGTCGGAGGTAAACAGCGAGCGCTCGGGGGTGACGCAGAGGCAGGCGCACGTCTCCGCTGGTCGGGGGGAAGCCATGGCTCACTTGTGGCACTGCATCAGGGGACTAACAGCGTAATTAGTCACTTCACATAATCTCCAGGCCTTTGTTTTCATCTTTCTTTGGCTGCCTTTTGCTCTTGCACGTGATCCTTTTTGCTGCTCGTGTTATTGCCTTCAATATGATAAATGCTGCTCTTGTTGCCTGGCTCTGAACTAGTACCAGGCTCAAGGCTGCAGTTTTCACCCACAGCTTCCCAGTTTCATAACTCGTTATAATACAGTGGTTATTGTACTGCTGTATCTCATCCTGAAGCTATACCTGACCATCCTGGAGTGCTTTAAAACTCATCACAGAAAATATTTTTTGCGATAAAACTTTGTACGTATTTTTAAAACTCAAGAATACTGATCAAGTCTCTATCAAGACTTTACAGAGAGAATCACTGCCTCCCCATTGCATACTATTTTTTAAGGTAACACGCAAAGTTTCTCTACTGAAACAGTACTGAAAATATTGCCAAAGATTGGAGGATGTTTTGATAGCCTGCCTATTGTTGGTGAAGAAAACAGAGACAGAACAGATCGCACCTTGGTTTTCAAAGTATGCATTGAGTTTTCAGTTCTAGAAGATAAAAAAATAATAAGCACTGGTTGGTTTATAAACTGCAAAATAATTGCATTTCATCTTATGAAGTCTGTTTCAGGGGAAAAACACGTTTGACAATGTCAGAAGGGTCAAAGACAAATTCAGCTGTCTTACAACTACTTCCTGAAGGAAGATGGCTGCTTTTATCTTCCATACGTGATGCCTGTTCTTAGAACACCAAAAATATTACTTGAAAGACCAGCTGGCTGCTTGCTGGCACAGTAATGCCGGTAGCAATAGCCTTGAATCTGTGGCAAGGAGCAATCCAGCCTTCTGCCACTTTTCTATTGGAAATGTTTCTTATCTGTAAAAGGAGGCACTGCAGATCTAGCTGCCCAGCCAGCTAGGATGGCAAAAACCATTCCATCACCTAGTTAAAAGAAACCTGAAAATTACATCTTAGGAGAGTGCAAGTCTCTGTTCATCTGATAGCAACCTCCAGATGAGTCTTAAATTCTGCCAGTTCCAGCCAGTGGTCAGCAGCTGTCCTCTAACTCCAGGTATTGTGGATACACAAAGACAGGCTACCTGGAATGCCTTTGGTATGTATGTTTTAATGGGTGAAATTCAAACACAATTCGGAAATCCAGGCCTTGTTAAGAACGTTCAATGTCTGAAGAGGCCACTTGCATAGCTACGGCTAATCCAGGAGGAGTCACCATCAGCTCAGTTCCACTCACAGAGATGCATGTGCATGGCAGAGAAACTCAAAAGCAGGCACAAATGTTTTTGGCTTCTCTCTGTCTGTCTCTGACTGTCCAGGCCGTGCCCTGTGCAACTGATGGACTGCCTTAAAGAGAATTTTCATGTAGCCTTTCTGCCACTTGCACTGCTTGTCATGCGCAAGGAAGAGACATTGCTCGTCATCCCTGTGACACAAACTGAAACCAATGTCAGGACTCAAAACTGTATTTGATCTCTTTCAGGGGAACCTCGATTGTTTTACTTTATACAGTGCGTTGTTCTTCTTCTTCTACTTTTCGCAGCAACTCGTATTTAATTCTGTTACAAACTGCCTGGGACCACGCAAGTTTCTGCACAGTGGGAAACTCTATAAAGCCAAGAGTAACAAGGAACTGTATGGCTTTCTCTTCAACGACTTCCTCCTCCTGACTCAGATCATAAAACCTCTTGGCTCTTCTGGCACAGACAAGGTCTTCAGCCCCAAGTCTAATCTGCAATACAAAATGTACAAAACTGTAAGTACTACTCTTAAATGGTGACTAACAGTATGCTAACAGTACCTATAGCAGGCAGCAGCTCCCATACCAAGTGTGTGGGCAATAGCCTTTATATAGAAGAGGTTTGAAAGCTTTGGCTTGTGCTGGGGATTCCAGGGACTGATGGTGAGAGAGCTGGTTGTTTGCTTTAACGAGATAAGAAAGGATGCTTTTGAAGTTTTGCTGAAGCACCCTCTTCAACAAGAGGTCACCTGTACCAGTGAGTGATGGGGAGAGTAGTGTTTGCTGCTCTGTGTGGGAAAGGAGAGATCACTGTGCTTCGTGAGGCTGCTTGCTTACTTACATCAGGAGAAGTGTTCCCAGGCTTTGAAGGCACCTATGTCTTTGATAATAAGGAATTGTTTTTTAAATTACGTATCTGAAGAAAGATGGGAGGCAGGCAGAAGGGGAAACATGCTGCAGGCACAAGATAAATCTGTTGCAAATTGCTCTGTGTTGATACATCTGCTTGTAAGTTGTGCAGTAGAACTCTAGCTTTGCCTATGTTTTACAGCCCATTTTTTTAAATGAGGTACTAGTAAAATTACCCACGGACCCTTCTGGAGATGAGCCCATTTTCCATATCTCCCACATTGATAGAGTCTATACACTCCGGGCTGAAAGCATTAATGAAAGGTAAGTACCTGCACAGGCCACGTGAGTACTGAAATTGAAAAGTCTGGTGCAAAAGTAAATGGTGTGTGCATGCATTCATAGTCTCCAAGCAGTTTATCTTACATGGCTGGAGAATTCCTCCTGCTTAAGAATATGATGATATTCAATATATGAAAAGGAGGGAGAAATAATGATGTTTCCTGAATTCCAATAAAGCCAAGATTGAAGTGACTAGGAGGGCTGCTATATCATTGGCCATCTTTCCCAACATCTTGTATTAGCCTGAGGAAGCCAAAAGATGTATTTCTATCTTCTTCTGTGAACATCCGTTTGTCTGTGCCGGTACAAGCATTTGTATGGCTCTAGGCTGAATGAGCTTGAGGAACAGGTCTGAATTAGAACTTGAAGCAAAAACCTACCAGAATGATCATCATGGTTATACAATACAGAAGCATCACCCTTCGTGATGAAAATTGACACACTTTCCAACTTAGGATCTGTTGCACAAACTAGACTATAGCAATGATCACTTGTTCTGCACCAGAGCACTCATGGCAATAGTCAGAAACCTCCAAACTCTGGGCCGCATGCATCCTATCTGGCTGGAGGAACTTCAGCAAGATGCTTACGTGTGCTAGTGCTACACTGAACCATCAGTGGAAGGAGCCAGATCTTCGCATGCTGAACGCCCTCTGGAGGTGTCTGCCTCTCCCCATTCACTGCAGAGAGGACCCACCAGAGCTGCTGGCCCAAACTGGGCACTCTAGTCAAATGTCTTTACTTATATGGGATACAGCCTTTGACTTTCTTTTATGCCGCAATTACCTAATAAATAAACTCAGCACTTTAGGTGAAATACCTCCAGATTTTCATCATTCACTTACTAAGAGCAACTAGGAGCAACAGAAGTAAAACATTAGTATCAATGGGTGATTAATTTGCCTATTTAATCATAAAAGACCCTTATGATCAAAGTCTTTGTATACTTCTAAAGCTGCCATTTACCACTGAGGGCTGAGCTGGAAGATGTAATTGTCCTTAAGGGTTTTGTTTTCTTGAGCAGCTCCCTGTGCTTAGCACAGGTGAATGTTCAGACCCAAATCCAGGCCAGTGTAGGTAGCTGCAATTCCCTGTAGAGCAGCAGCTCTTCATTTTGGGATCAGAAATGGATCCACAACTTCTAGATTATCTCATTTTGCCTTGACACAGGTCTCAAGCTCCCTTGTATGTCACAGCAATTCTTCTAAACCCTTGAGGTCACTTGGTACCCCTTCTTCCACTCTTAAGTATGAAATGGTTTCCCAGAAGGGCCTATAGGGAACCGTGATCACTCATCATCTGTGTACTCCCCACGTTATACTTCATGTGTCCCAAGACTTAGAAGAATTTTGATATGAAACCTCAGGAGTCAAGAAAAGAGGCCACCTCTGCAACATAGCAGTCTTGTATCTACTTCCTACACAAAGTTAATTACAATAAAGCAAAAGATTTGGTGCCAGCAAACCTGCTATCTATACCTTTTGGTTCCTCACTAAGTCCTTCCTGCTTGTGATTCTCTTGATCCTTCTTTGTCTGGTGGGACCTGCTAGCTTGGGATGGTTAAATTTCTGCAGGTGCTATAAATTCCACTAAGGTCTCTTCCAGGCAGACAGCTTCAGTGTAGCAGAGACCATGATGGGACCAGAGCCTTGGTTGGGAAGGGAGGACAGCTTTACTTTTGTCACCTGTGCTCCAGGGAGGAAAAATGGAAATGGTATTTTGCAATTTTTTTTTTTTTTTCTTTGCCACTGAAGGACTGCCTGGGTTCAGAAGATCAAAGCTGCTTCAGAACTTTACATAGAGACTGAAAAGAAGAAGAGAGAAAAGGCCTACTTAGGTACCACATGGGATGTGAGGGGGTCTCATCTTTTGTGGAAAAGTCCCTGGGCAGGAAAATATGTTCATGACTTTTCTCTCTCCTCTTCTGTTTCATCACAGTTCGCTCACAAAGAGCAACAGGGATTGGGAGGTTGATGGTGAATATTGTTGAAGGCATTGAACTAAAACCTTGCAGGTCCCATGGTAAGTGTGTTGTGTCTTTCATAAAAAGCTCTACAAAGAAGACATTTGTATTTGTCAGACTGACTTTGAAGAAGGTTCTGTCCAAAATGTGGTTTTGTTTACTGAAGCAGTTTTAAGGGAATTAAAATACGCAGAAGTGATTTCGTGCAGTTCAGTAGGAGTCATGCAGTTACCTTGCGTGAAGTATCTGTTTCAGACAAACTTAGTCTCCACCATGTAAGCCATATCATAAGAGATCACAAGCCAAAAAGTCCTGAAATGAAGAGTGGAAGGTGCTCAGCGCCTTGCAGAGCTGTGTCACTGTTCATTAGAATGGCAGTGGGGCCACAGTCTTTAGCCCAGCCATTGCTGTAGGAGTAGAAGGACAGTTAGGAGGAAGATCACACACCTAAAAACGTGATTACTCTTTTCTGTTTCTTTCCATCTTTCCAGGCAAGAGTAACCCATACTGCGAAGTGACGATGGGCTCCCAGTGCCACATTACCAAGACGATACAGGACACCCTCAACCCAAAGTGGAACTCCAACTGCCAGTTCTTTATCAAAGACCTTGAGCAGGACGTGCTCTGCATTACGGTTTTTGAGAGGGACCAGTTCTCACCAGATGGTACGTAGGGGGCTGCTGCCCTTCCAAGGGTATTTTCAAATCACCTGTTTTGAAGAGGTGCATGCCTGCTGAGGTAAATCATAGAATCAGGGGATGATTTGACTTGGAAGGGACCTTTAGAGATAGTCTAATTCCAACCCAATATCAAACACCTTTGCATATTGGGAGCCTGCTCACCCTTGCTCTCCAGTGGAGTCATGCTAGTATCAGTCCAAAAAGAAGCTCTCTCTCAAGTTTTTTTTGGGTGTTTTTCCTTTCTTGTGCAACTTTACAAGAACTAAAGCATGGTTTGCCATTCTGCTTTCTTTAAAAAATTCTGAATGTTCTTTGCAAATTGACAGATTAATGCAGGAGGAAGAGGAATGTCTTCCAAGTCCTATAATATGCAATAACAGAGGCAGTAATGAATCCAGGGTTCCTAACCCGTTCTTATTTCATAACCTGGGATAAACTTATGGAGCATATGCACATCAGACTGTATTTTGGTGTTTGAACTGTGCAGTAGCCTTTGGCCTTTTTTCTAAAATATAATAAAATAAATAAGCTACTGAAGCAAGGCAGTTCTGAACCACATAGTGGATTTTTCTGCTTATAGGACCATTTACTTCTAATGCTGCTGCTGTCTAATGTTGCTGAGCTAAAATCCTCTTCTATGCAGATTGGCAGCCTTTGGCCTTCTTCAACAGCAAAAATATAGTTGGACTGAAGAAGACATTCTCTCCTTTTGTTTTGTGAAGATGGAAGCTTAGTTCCTTCTGCAAATTAGCATTTTACTGCAACGTAAACCACTTTTTGAGCATGCTGTCTTTTTGCATTTCAGACTTTTTGGGCAGAACAGAGATCCGTGTGGCAGACATTAAGAAGGATCAGGGTTCAAAGGGACCAGTTACAAAGTGTCTCCTTCTGCATGAAGTTCCAACAGGAGAGATAGTCGTCCGACTAGACCTGCAATTGTTTGATGAGCCTTAAAAGGAAAGGGACCAATGTTTTATTTCAGTTGAGTTCATCTGAGTTCACTGCAATAGGTGTCTTCAGAAGCTGTCACAAAATTCTTACTGGGGTGGTATGAAACTACTGCTTGCCCTTCACACGCAAGAGGGTTATCAAAGCAAACAGGAGCAACTTTGTGCCTTGATAATTCTCACTGAAAAATGAATCCAAATTTGGTGAGGAGATCTCGCTCGATTTCTGTATGTGAAACTTGACATTAGTTTCCTGGGTTTATGAAATAACCTCGTTGGTCGCTGTGCTCCAGTCTGAGAGGCTGGCAAACCACTTAGGTTGCTGTGCTTGTGCCAGTTACCCTACTGTTTAATTTACATGAAGAAGGCAATGTTGGTATGTTTTGGAGGCTTTCTGCAGAGTTTTCCCCCTTGAGGAATTCTGTGCCTATTGCTCAGCAAAACGGTGTGTAAATGTAATGTGAACAGGAGCAGTTACACAGTAAGAGGATCTTTGAAGATCTTTGTGATGGTACTGAAAAGACTTAGAAGATAAATAGTCTATATCTATAAACAGAGAAGATTCTATTAACATACCACTTCATGACTCATGTTGCCCCGAAAATAAATTATGTACACGCCTTCTGCACAGAGTTGAATTGCTCTCCAGAAGAGTCCACTCACTCAGTATCTTTGGAAGTTGCCGTTTTCTATAGGACTGTAAAGGTTCGAACAGTAAGCGAAGGATTAAACGTAGGAGCCCTGCTGTATGTTGTGTTGCCCCACTTCAGTACTCCTTTACTACTGCCGCTTGACTGCGTGGCCACAGATGGATGATCTGTCACCTGCAGCAGGGAAGAAAACAAATCACGGCTCCAGCTCAGGAAGCTGATTCCTGCCCTGTGGAGTCTCGTCTGCAAAGCAATCAGTGGTGATCAGTTATCAAATTGTGCCGTGCCTAACTGCTTGAGGTTGTGTAACTGGATTCAGGGCAGCAGCAGCAGCAGCTCCTCACTGTAGCCCCGAGGCATCGGTAGCCAGCCAGGGTGACCGCAGGGTCAGCAGATGTTGACCAGCCTCAGAGTGCTTCTGATGGTGCAGAGTGGGGAACCCCCAAGTAGGAGCCTTGTCATCTTGGGGAATGCCAGGGCTTATGGATCCATTTAACACAACGAATGCACATGTACAGGCCCACATCCAGCAGACTTTCCCTGTTTGGCAAAGCACCCAGCTTTAAGCTGCGCTTACGTCTCGTTTCCCTTGAGCACACGCGTAGGTGCTTTGCTGAGTCCCGACTCGAGAGAGAAGAGACCCCTGAGAGTACAATTCCTCTTTGTTCTGCTTGGGTTAATTTTGTTCATGACCTATCATGCATACACTGGTATTTTTGTAAGAACTTATTTCTGAATGGGAGGTGTCAGCCTGCTTCATTAGCATGTGAACGTTCTTGTGGAGCCTGTTGTTAGATTTTGGTGTTCCTTGCATGTCCTTTCAGTACTGGTTTCCACCTTTCCTGTATAGGCGGTGTTCTCTAGCACTACAAGTCTTATTGATTTCCATTAGGAAATTAGGATATATTTATAACGGATAGGTAATTACAGTATGGTAATAAGTGTAAACTGTGCTGGGAAGTGTCTGTGTATTATAATTTCCTAAAAGACCACTGTAATGTTTCAAGCAACAGGGGAAAAAAAATAATGTATGTTGGAGGGACAACAAAGTTTACATTTCATACTTTTCAGAATTGCTTTATTATTTATTTATTGAAGATAGTGTAGAATTTTGTATCAGAAATGACAGACATACTTATGTATTTTTTGAAACAAAACAGAGATACACACTTTAGTTAGAAACTTTCAACTGACCACATTTTAGAGGAAGTGTAACTTCCTAGGCATGCATTTGTTTACCACTAACTGGCTGAAAACACAATTAAGAGAACTTTAAGTTTCTATTTTTCAATGTTGTTAAAAAAATCGTTTCAATTAAAATATGTAAATAGTACTAAACCCATGCTTTCCTAATTCCATATCAATACATTTTATTAAATATAATGTATATGAAAATTCACATTGTTGTGGTAGGATTAAAAAAAAGGTGATAAAATCTATTAATGGAGTAACATTAAATGTCATCGTCTAACCTTTTATCGCTGTCCTAATTTTACTCAGTAGCTTTAAATACAGTGAAGATTTATTTCAGATTTATTTAAAAAGTAGCATCACTTTTTTTATGGTATCATTTCACCAGCAAAAATTACAGTAACAACTAAACAGACAAACAGGATAAAAACATCCATGGTCGTAATGCAGATACCCAGGCCAGATTTTTGAAAGGAGCCTCAAGGAGCTGCACTTTCCTCTGAGACTCAACTGGTCTTGAAGTAGGGGACCCTTAGCTGCAGGGGCTCCTCTCAGATTGAGACTCTTGTCATGGGCATGTATGATTACATAATTTTTGGGAACTGTAACAGAAGTGAGCACCTTCCTGACCACCATCACTTGTGATTTCCCACTTACCCTCGATGCGCAGCAATGTTCAATTCCTATTAATGTCAATAGGAGTTATGCAAGCATCATGATTCACCTCACAGATGTCTAATGAACTGCTCATGAATGGGCTAATCCTGTGGAGGAAGCTTGTCCTGTGCACTGAGGGCAGAATGTATGTGCACCCCTAGAGGCAGCCGACTGTGCATTGGGGTGTCACCATTTTCTCGCCTGCTCACCCTCAGTGCTCTGTAGCACATTGGCACTCTTCCCGTTGCTTCCCAGAGGGAACTGCTTTGCACCAGGGTTAGCCAAAGGTTCTTAGAAACCCGCTGGCTCCCTGCCCAGTAGCTGCGTAGACCTCCTGCTCATCCAGGACCTCATGCTGTAAAAGCTCAGGCCTTTTCCTGAAAAAAAAGAGACTCATGAGCTGTATTCCTACTCACGCTGTCATAGAGAAATGGCAAGATCTCATGGGCTGGTCTAAATACCCTCTGTGTTCTGAAGAGCTGGGGGAAGGGAGAGGCACACAGCCCTGCCCAGGAAGTCAGGTATCTCTTCCTGGATACACAAGTCAGCTGGCATTACCACAAGGCATGAAGGTTGAGCCATCCTCTTACAAGTAGCACATGCTGGCTGTCAGGCCAGACGCTGTCTGTGCTACCAGTATTGATTACCTATATTTCTGTAGACCCTGTTTTTCAGATGTGGGTTATTAATCTTTGAGTGTCTTTGTAAAATAGCACACCTTAGCTCATAGGTCCCTTTCCAGCCCCGACAAGATGTGTGTAAACTTCTCCTAATGTTGTGCAAAACAACCAGAATAACAAAGTCAAAGTCCAGATAATACTTGACCACACTCTGGATTGAAAGAGCAGATTCGTACAGAAAAGCATCCTCACTAAGACACAGAGGTTGTAAATCTCTATACTGCGGAGTTCTGGGACTGACTGTCTGCATTTGCTTTGGTAGAATTGATCGTTGTAGAGAGGCTGAGTATGAGGTCTCTCCATTACTCATGATTAAAATGAGGCACTGGTGAGACTGAACTGCTACACGGGCCACTGGGACTGGCCCGCAAGGTGGGGTTTCATTTCTGCCTTAGCAGGCTCTACTATTTTAGAGAAGACATTTTGCTTAGAAGCAGTAGTTCAACATCAAACTCTTTGGCTGGCAAGCAAGCCTTTCTAAAAGTAATACTGTGTCTTTTTAATGCATTCACTGCCTTCATTGAAACAGTGGTCTTGCTTGGGACAAACTGGGAGAAAAAAGACATGAGACAGGAAAGAGCAAAACTTGCAGCTGTAAGAAAACAGGCAATGGAAAAAGCTGCACTAGTAGTTTAGTTTCCGAGCTGTAACTCTAGGAATTGCATTTTTCTGCTAGGTACATTAATTTTAACAAGGAGAATAGTGTTTCTCCCTAGTGCTTCCTTGGTTTTAAGTCTTGTCATAGAACAGAGTTAATGGGTCAGAAACTGGAAGGGAACACTACCACTTTTAGAAATTATTCAGATGACTTTTGAAAGGTGCTGGTAGCTGAGAACTGGCAGAATGTCAATGTTGTGGCTGCAGATGGGACAGGATACTGAAGAGGAAGGAAAAGAATATTTTTTTACTTTTCTTTTTTTGAAGGGGAGGGGGTTTGAGGGGAGCATTTAGTTTAAAATCAGATCCACAGTCTCACAGCAGAACTTCAATTATCCAGGACCTCAGGCATCCAGAGTATAACACCAGTGACTAACAACAAACCATGTCTTTGTCCTCAGCCTGTGAGAGCCACGCTGGATTTAGTGCAGCTCTGTATTCATGCAGGAGTTTGCATGCACTGTTTTATAGAAGTGGAGCTTTTTGGTGTTTTTAGCAGCCCTTATACTCCTCTTCCCAGGAATTACCTTCTGAGACACACCTCTGAGGTGCTTAGGCACTGTGTTGTTTCAAGGTGCTTTCACAAGGACTTCATAGGCTTGCAAACATTGCTGTCAGGCTCTTTGCTTTCCTGGTGGTACCATCCAGGAGGTACACGTGTACTTTCCATGCTCTTTCCACACAGGGAATCAGCTGCACCAGCACCAATGTGCCAGTTTACTGTCTCTGAGAGGACTTGTCCCCCCAGCCTTTAGTTGTATGAGGTATTTGCCAGCAGTGCCATTATACATCGGCAGGGTGGGTACCTGTCCTTTCACCAGTATTCCTCCCCATTTAGGACCTCTCCATCGTTGCTCAGGTTGCAGTAAGAATCAGCCTGCTCTTGTCAATCTGCCTCGAGAGTGTTTTCTCCCTGTGGACAGGAGTCAGCCCCTCAGAGATGTCTCTTAGGGAAACTCCTTGAGCTTGTTTTCCTCTGTGCTTGGCCAGACATAGCTGAAAGTCGTCATGTCTGGGGCAGGTCCAGCTCTCCCCCCTTCAGGGGTCCAGCCTGTCTCCATGCTGTGAGCCCATAGCCTCCACTTCACTGCCATTGGGGCTGAGGCTCAGGTATGAGATCACCCCGGTCCCTGATTTTCCCCACCTGCTGGCTTCCTCCAAGCCAAACACTGGCTGTGTTGCACAAATGAATGCAGCAGGTGGCTGGAAAGCACATCTTACTTCATCTCACTGCCTTGCTCTGTAGCAATCTCACTAGGTTATTCTACTGTGTACATCTTCTAAGTACCCTGGTGCTTCTGTCCTGGAATTAATAAATTCCCTTGGGAAGCATCACTCTTTCTTCCCCTTTAACCCCAACTCCTGAAGCTCAGCTGTGTGAAACAGTGCTGGTTATGGGACTCCTCTCCAGGCTTTTCCCTCACAGCTCATCTGGCAGCTGCCACCTCTGCTCCAGCCCCACAGCCCCCGGGGCTCAGTGAAGCACTCCAGCAGATGCTTAGCTTTAATTCATGACATTCATGACCCACTTCAATTCAAAGTCATACACAAAGCCAGTCAGGCTTTGCAGTACATGCTTTGCTGGGGACGCGTGGAGAAATTCGGAAGCCTTCAGTAATGTAGAGCCCACGTGATGAAGTTGGTTCAAACTCCATAAGGACTGAAGATTGCAAAAGAGCATCAAACAAAAAGTCACGATTAAGTTAAAATACAGAA